ATGGCTTCTCAATTGTTAAATTTTTATTTGGCAAACAAGCATAGGCATTTGTGAGATATCTAAAAAGAACCAATTTACTCTATTTCTTTAGAGATCGTTGTGGCTTTAAAATTCTGGTCATTTTTACCTTTGGTTGGTTCATATCCCTCTTCATCTCTTGGTTATGGTATTCTAACTTATTGATCATGTCCAATTAGGAACGTTCAACGTAAGAATGTAAGATTTGAAATTGATTTATATATATATATATATATATATATATATATATATTTACAAAAGATAGGAATTGGTGGTGAAAAGACTTATATGTTTATTTTTTATTTAAAGAAGTTCTTTAAATTCTAACACTAGAAGTATGTGCTTTCTTTTAGGTCAGAAGTGGTCGACTCTCATTCTAAAGAAGCATTCACTCCTCAATAGATGAGATCTATCTACTAGCAATGTGTAGAACATCATATATTTTCAATCAAAAGACTATTGTTCATCAATGAATATTGTTTAAATCAAACTCAATAATGAGTAAACATAATCTTGATATTTCTCATTTGCTAGTATAACATTGAACAACTTTAAATTTTTTTTACTCTAAAAGTAATTTTTTAAAAAATAATTAGAAATAAGAAAAATGCAACTTAGTATGCTTCTAAAATGTTATATAAATACACATTATTTTGAAAAATGAACATATGGATAAATGCATGAATTATTTTTAAAAAGGTGAATGCATTAATGACTTTGGAATATGTGAATGGAGGGATCATCATTTTTTTTGTTTTCCAAGTGAACGCATAAATAATTTTTTTTAGTATATGTGAATGATGGAATCATTTTTTTGTTTTACAAGTGAATGCATGAATCATTTGTTTTTTTTGTGTATGCGAATGATGGAATTATTTTTTTATATGCCAATGCATGAATCATTTTTAAATGTGAATGCAAATGTCTGAATCATTTTTTATATGTGAATGCATGAATTATTTTTTTATATACGAATGCATGAATCATTTTTGTATGTGAATGTATGAATATATTGTTTTTGTATATACGAATTCATGAATATTTTATTTTTGTATGAATCAATTTTTTTGTATATGCGAATGCATGAACCATTTTTTTTTGTACAAAACATGTAGGATGAATAATTATGAATGATTTTAAACAAATGAAGGAACATGATAAATTTTATAAAGAAAATATATTTTATTTTTATTTATTTTAATTTTTTACATTTCTATGGTAAAAACTCTCATTTTTAGAGTTCACTCTGTCCTTTTGTTGATGCATGGTTTCATGGATAGATCTAAATTCCTATGGTCTTGTGTGGCTCCCAAATTGCCCCTATTAAATAATAAGGACCTAGCTCATGACTTAGTCATAAGTAGGGACGTGCCCTCTCAATATGAGTAAGTCAATGTACTAGTAACAATCTGAGTGGTAGCTCAGCAACTACCAAGTGAGCATAAAGCCCCTCAATAGTAGTTTGTTAAGGCACCTTCTACTCCTAGGCTCGCATAGGCTTGGGTATAAAGCCCAAATGTGTGTGAGGTAAGTGTTAGTGATGTGTGTGCATAGAGCATACAAGTTTTTACCCTATTAACTACCCATCTAACACAGACTAACAAATACCGAAAAATGTACAAAAGTCATCTACCCTAAGATTCACAATATAGCAAGAGAAGTAATAGTAACAAGATATTTACAAAAATAAACTGAACAATAAATAAAATAAAATGAATACACAAACAAAATGATGAGTGAAAAAAAAAAGATTAAAACTTTTGCACACTTAATTAGATTAGGTTTAACTCTCAAAAAAGTCCCCAGTGGAGTCGTCATCTGTCGCAACCGGGGTCACAACGGGACGACGATGACAAGAGTCGCCACCAAAGTTTATTAAAGAAAACATTGGAAAAACTTTTAATTAAAAAAAAATCTTCGAAACCAAATTTGGGCTTGGGAGTCGTTTACGTGTAAGGAAGGTATTAGCACCTTACGACGTCCGTTGGTTAAAACGGTTACCTTCTAATTAATTGTACAAAATTTTACTTTAACTTTAAAAAACATTTATTTCACTCTAAGAGAAACTAATTAATATCTTTTTTTTACTATTTTCAAATTTGTTATTATTATTATTTTTAGATTTACTTCTAATTTTTACCAATTTTTTAAGAGATTTTAATTTCATTTTTTTAAAATAAGGAAACACAATAAAAATTATTTGAATTAAAGGAATGAGTTATTTGTAAAAATATTATTCTTTTATTTTTATTTTTTGTATTAAAGAAATATTATAGTAAAACAACATATCTTAACACTTTATTTTTTATTTTTTATTTTCTATATTTTAAAATAAAATAAAATTTTCGTTTTTTAATTTTTCTAAAAAATGTGTGCTAGAAATTAATCTTAGTTTAAAACAATTTTAAAAATATATTGAACCTGAAAAAAATTTTAAACAAAATTGGACTTGACAGGTCAGTTTCCCACTCCTACGTATCCTCCGTGTATAACATAGGAATCAAAGCTACACGTAGTTCTTTTTCGAAAATTATGTTTTGAATAAGTTTTAAAGATTTTCTTTCTTTTTTTTGTGAAAAAAAAAACTTGATTTTTCTTTATTATTATCATTTTTAAGTAAATCCACTCCTGCACAGGGTTTAAGTTAGCACACGGCTACTCAATAAACCCTTACGATCCAAGCAACGTTGAAGGTGGATCCTCCACTCTATCAAAATTACTTGGGCGTTGCGTAGATTCAAAAGACTCATTTTTTATAATAATGCAAAATTGATATACCTTTTAATATAAGATTTTTGCACACACAACAAAAAAAGAAACAAACGAGAGACATACAGAACAAATAAACAAATACAAAAGCAAACAAAAATGATGAGTAAATAACTCTTATTCAATTTAGGAAATAAGTTTTTCTTTTTTAAGGTTAGGATATGCAAAGAAATTAGGGTTTTTAGAATTTATAAAAAGAAAGAATTTTTAAGATTTCGAAAAATTAAATTTTTATAATTTGTAAAATTGTTAGGGTTCAAAAAAAATAGTTTGTTTGAACTTGCAAAAAATTGAATGATTTTGGGTTAGAAAAACAAATATTATTTTTAGGGTTTGCAAAAAAAAAGGTAATTTAGGGTTAGAAAAAAAATAGTTTGTTTATAGGGTTTGCAAAAAGGGTAATACTCGGAGTTAAAAAAAAATTAATTTTCATGGATTTGGATTTTATTTTTTAGGGTTTGACTGGGGGAGAAGTAATTTAGGGTTAGAAAAATTATTAGAATTTATAAAAAAGAAATTTATTGAATTTTCTCTTTTCATTTATTTATTTATTTATTACACTTGCAAAAGTGTTAAATCATGAAGAAGAAGAGAAAAGTGTACAAAATAAATAAACAAAGAGGAAGAATCCTTAATAATATATGGAGGATGAGAAACGAATAAAGAAAGAGAATTTTTATTAAATAAATGGAGGATGGAAAATGAACAAAGAAAGGAAATTCTTATTAAATAAAGAGAGGATGGAAAATAAACAAAGAGAAAAAATCTTTATTAGATAAAGGGGGATGAGAAACAAACCAAAGAATAAAATGGAGAACACTTACTTGATGAGAGTTTTTCTTTTTTGCCTCATGTTTGGATCTCTCCTTCATTTGTTCTCTGTAATCGATCTCAAGATATGTTTTAGGATTTTTGGCGCTGTCAGATGGTTTTCTTTGATCCTCTCTAGAACTATCTCTCAAAGAGGTCTCATGAAAATAAAATGTGTTTTCCTTCTAAAAAGTCCCCTCTCTAAAGACCTAAACTTCCTATTTATAGGCATTTTTTAAAACCCTAAATCCTATTTATTTATTTATCTTTAATAAAAGCTCCCTTATTTTCTGATAACCAGTAAAAAATTTACAAACTACTTTGACCATTTCTAAATCTAATTTTAAATTTAAAAATTGAAAATTTGAATTTAAATTTTAAATTAGTTTTTTTTATTTTTTTAACCTTTTAAAAAAATAGAATTATATTTAATTTTTTATTTTAAAATTTATTTTGAAGGGGACCCGGATAAAATTGGGTATTCACAGATTATTTAATCAGACAATCCAATGATTCAAATCGAACATGTTCGTGTTTGATTCAAATTGATTTAAATTTTTTTTACATATTTAAACCAAATCAAACCAATTCATTTTGATCGGTTTAAATTATTTTTTTCTCCAAACCTAAACTAAACCAACCCATGGACACCCTTAGACAAAAGCTATGATTTTTTTCTCTATAAGTAGAACTTCAGTTTTCTAATTTTTGAAAGTTATTAGGAAATGATAAAGTGGACTTGCATCGGTGTATTTGAGTAAAAAATGACTGCGGAAGCGAGTTTCATTCCTAGAATAATTTAATTTTGTTTTGGGCAAAATTTAACTGTAGTTTCTTATTCTTTTAAATAAAATATTTTAATTTTAATAATTTATCATGATATAGAATATGAATTTTATTTTAAAAATATTAATTTTAATTAAAATAATAATATAAAAATACGTCTTGAAATTTTGTTGTTTGTTAATACAGTTAGGCACCTGTCACGTTTGCTTTATCTAATTCAATAGTTACTTTCAGCATGAGATTCAGCGCAACAACCGCATACACATCCACATAATTAAAGATCATTTTCTACATATTATATTAATGAGTTTTGTTAATTTTAGGATTTAGAAAAGTATTTAAAAATAAAAAAATTTATAAAAAATATATAATTATTTTATTAAAATTATAAAAATATAATAAATACTTTTAATAAAATTGTACTTATTAGTTACTTATTTTTAAAAATTAAGATTAATAAAATTCTATATTAATAAAAATTTTATTAATCTTTTGTAATAATTTTTTATTTATAAAATAAATATTAAATAAAAATATTTGTGTATTATTATATTAAAAATATAAAGTGCATTAAATATTTTTATTTAATAATTAAAAAAATAAAAGAATAAAAAGAGAAAATTTTAAATTATTCATAAATCAATCACTAATTGCGAAATCCATTAGGAACTCATGGGTCACATCCACCAATCCTTTTTCCTATCAACAATTGCATAGTTTCGATTTTAATCTCCCACTTGCCCAAAAAACAAAATAAATAGAGTTTCAATTTTTGTAAACACATCAAACAACAAATTTCAAAGCTAAGACACGTGTATCCAACGGGCAACACTGGGCACACCTTGGTTCACTGCAAACGCCATGTAATATCCCGGCGGGGCCACCATCCCATTTGGCGGCGCCGTGCATCCAATCCGGTACCGTCCGTCGCCGTCAGGCACGGCGGAGGTAACGGTCAGTTTGACCAAACGTTGACCCTGAGAAAACGAATGCGTGGAAAAAGGCGCACTGGCCAAGTTCACTTCCACGATTCCCACGACAGGCAAAGAAACAGCGACCACCACATCAAACTTCCCTCCAAAACGCACCGTTTCGGGTATTTCCTCAATCCCCGGTCTAATATTCGCCCGGTCCGCACTCAGATACTCGGGCGAAAACGCTTCGACTCGTAACTCTGTCGGAAACTCAGCATCGAATCGGTAAAACACGTGCGGGTTACTCCCGGCAAGTAAAACCCTCCCATCTGGTAACAAATTTGCAGTTGAATGGTACAACCTAGGCACAGTTCCCGGGTTCAAAACCATGAACCGTAACCCAACCGGTTGATCGGGCCGGTACAGAACCGGGTTCAAACACGGGTTCGAAGCTAATTCAAATCCCTGAGTCCCAGACATCGCTCCGTTTATCACCAAAACATCGCCGTTTGGAAGCATAACCATGTCACCCATAATTCTCCCGTACGGCATGTCCTCCATCTCCCAAACCGGGTTCGACCCTGTTGCCAAGATCCTACCGCAGCTCCCGTTCGCCGGCGTATCCATACTCCTCATGAGAAACGCACCGTATTGAGCTCCGCCGCATACGACAATCTCCGCGGCGGAGTAGTCTCCTTGTAAGGCGAGCATCGCCGAGGACCCCGCCGACGGGTAATTCCTCGGACCACCCTGCAACGGTGGGTATTGTTTGACGATGACGTGTTTGGTGAAGTCGTACATCACCGACTTCGTGTTCGCGAACACGAAGAGGTGACCGTTGGGGAGAAGATGGACATAAGGGTACAAATTATCCATCTGCGTGTCCTCTGTTTCAGCGAGGAAAGGGAACAAAACGGCGCCATTTTTCCTTGGAGGGTAAAACTCCACCGTGTTGGAGCCTCTTCCACCGATTATGATTACCGATCCGTCCGGTAATATTTGGTTGGTCGCGTACCATCGGCCTTCGGCCAATTCGACGTCGTTTAATTCTTCCCAGTCGCATGATCCGCTTACGTCACACGGGTCGAATTTTCGGATCTTTTTGAACCCGTCGAGGTCGCCACCGGTTTGTAAGAGGGTTCCATTTGGGAGGAATTGGCCCGAAGAGCACCACGTGTCGGTTAGGATCTTCAAAGGTTTGAGTTGGTTGGTTTTGAGGTCGAGGTGAACCGAGTGCGCATAGCAATCGCGCTTTAAAATGGCGTCGTTTCTGTCGAACCTACAGTGCCCCTTTGGAAGGAGTTTTCTCGAGGGGCCGATGTTGGTCCGGTCAAGGAGAACCACCGTGTTGAAGCGTGTGACCGCCGTGTGCATTGAGGCGATGCCGGCGTCCGCCACCAGAAGCTCCCACGTGCCGGGGAGATCGGAACGTGTGTTCATTGAGAAGGCTAGAACGATGACAAAGCATAACAGATAAGAAGGGACACTATCCATCGAGAGAGAATGAGTGAGTGGGAGTGGAGTGCAGTGATGTGAGGTGAAGCTTCTATTCTAATTATAGAGAGTGATAATTGTGGAAATTGCGATGAAAAGTGCAGTGCGATTAGTGCTTTCATGCTTGAGGAGACAAAATTTGGGTCGCTGTTGGGGACCGTTTCGATGTGATGCTGAAGTTTCGAAAGCCAAATTGAATAGCTTAATGGTAACTATAATTTTTTCTTCATGCAAATTGTTTACTTCCTTTTTTAAGTTTTTAATTGAAATTTAATGATAATTGGATTGCATTTACCTATATAAAAATGAACAATTTTCAATTCTCTCTATAACATATTTTTCCCATCTTCTTATTTATTAAATAAATAAATAAATATTAAATGTAAAATATTAAAGACTATCTAAAAAAGATACAGGATAGCTCTGCAATATTCAAGTGTATTTTGTTCTGTGGGGCTTCTGTCGGCGCTCTGAAAAATTAAAAACAGAGCACTGCTTGGTTTATAGCACAAGAAGAAGGTGCGTAACGTAAGTGGAAAGCGAAGGTGGGAAATTTGGACACACAGGACACAAGTGGCAAGAAGCCTACAACGTAGTTAAACGGTGTTTACGCTGCTGCGCCTCTATATTCTTATCTTAGTCCTGCAAATGTTTTAAGTTTTTGAGAAATTATACTCATAATTAATTTATATATTAATTTAAACCGTTTAAAAAGATAAAAATAACAAAAAAGATTAAAAGTGTAAAATAAAAAACTTTTTTATCAATTATATGTTTTTATCTTACGAACATGATATGTCTTGGTCTTTAATGCAGAGAGGGGGACAGATGACTCGTCTTAATTATAGTCCAAAACTAGACGGTGAGAAAGAAAAGTGGAGAAGAATTGTCTATCTAGATACACGCTCAATAACACTGTTTGAGCGTTGAAAATCTAATAACTATTCCTCCAAATGTTTGAACGAACTTAGATTCGCTAAGATAAAATGCGAGTCCAAACACTAACAATCTTTTCGTTGAATTTTTTTATTTAAATTTCTAATATTGACATTATATTATATGTAACACTATATTTATATATTTTTCTTTTATATATCTATCTTAAAAATATATTTTAAATATAAAAAATACCTTTAAATTTTGATTTCTATGGATACACTAAACAGTTTTCTTTTTATATAGAATCAGCTATTCCGAGAGGGAAGTACATATGGAAAGTCAATAAAAGATTTAAGGCCCTTAGAACTTCATTTTAAAAAGAACACAAAAAATTAAAACCATTAATATAATCATTTATCTACTATTCAAGGGCAAAAGGGATTCAAGATTGTAAGAGTTCTGGTTAAAGTGATATTAATTTTTATTTTATGGTGGGTTGATATCAAGATTAAATTCGAACCAAACTACATTTGCGTAGTGACTTATGATAATTTATTCCGAACCAAATATTTTATAAACATTTTAAAATAATTTAAAATAAAAGAGATTCAAGTGTTATGAATTTAAAATTCATGAAAACACACTAAGAGACCCCACTTTGAAGTGGGTACTTTGTTTACACGTAATGATCTTTCCAGCAAAAAAATAATCGTCCCACTCCCACAGTAGCTGTATGGTAGTTTTTCTAATTATTAATTACCAACTACCGCGAGTGTAGACTAGTGGGCGATGGTGGGTCCCGTCGTTCTAAGATTGATATAATACTAAAAATTAATCATTATCCTGACTAAAATATATAGTTAACAAGAAATAAAAACTGGGACAAATAATCCCGGATGATAAAAAAGAAAATAAAAAATAGAATAAAACAAGGGAGAAAAATGAAAACCTTTTAGTTGATAATAACACAATTATGCAAAATTTGAGAGGATATTTTATATATTTTAAAATTAATAATTATAATTCTTTTAATATTTTAAAATTAAAATATATTTGTCTAAATTAATAAATTGTATAGTGATAATCATCTCAAATACTATCGTAATTTAGAAGGTAACTTAGAAATTCCTAACATGATTCCAATAACACAATGAACTTTATTTAATAAGAGTGGGGGGCACACTTACAGTAAAAGTTCTTCAAACATCAAACTGGAACGGGGATGTGTGGTTGTAACGGCTCAAACCTTATATGTTACTTGAAAATGCTGCATTCTTCTGAACTTTTTATAAAGTACTTCAAAAAATTAGTATTTTTTAATAATGAAGTTGATAAATATTTAAATTTAAACCAACAAAATAATATCGATAGTAAGTCAGGTTCAATAATGTTAAATAAAAATAAAATTATCATATTATAATAGTTTTAAAAGATTATTTAATTTTATAATTATAATTTAAAGTATTTTATAAAAAAAATAGCTTAGATCTATGAATAACTGTAATTGGGATAAGAATTTGTTTCAGCATCACCATTGTTTGAGTAATGTCATGATGGAGAAATTGAGACGGAGGAGAAAAAGAGCAATGATAATGACCAGTTTTGTGTGAAGAACATGATGACGGTATGAAGAAGTAGATTGAAGTAGAGAGTGGTGTGTGGTACATAAAAAAGAGTATCAGATTCTTCCTCACTTTTCCCTCCCTTCTTTCTCACCACCTTTTCGTTGTCTTTTTTTTTTTTTTTTATGACGTAGAAGATGAGACAATAGAAAAAAGGTGTAGAAATTTTAAATGACTTAAAAAATAACACATAACTGCTATTACAGCTGCAAAAGGAACTGAAAATTTAACCAAAACATTGATCAACTGTTTAATGGTCCAATTTATGAATTTTTATTCGAATTTTATTCATGATAAATAACCGCTCTCTTGTTTAAAAGAATAAATATATAGTTCAAGAGTATGAAAAATATAACACATGAAATAGCGTGAATTGACGTGCAAAAATTTAAGCAAACTAAACGTCTCGTTCCCATGAAGCCATAATTGATGACGGAAGCTTGAATTGTATAACTAATGAATTTGTGAGTTTCTGTACAAATTTTATTTGTACTATAGTTCCTCTTATTAAAATGGTTTGTATTTTTTAGCAAGAAAATAAAATATTTATTTGTTTTTTAATCACATAAGTAATTTTATTATTTCAACATTATTCACATCACCATAAAATTAATTATTTTAACATTTTTTTATAAGAAAGATTCAAATTCATAGCTTTGTTTAAGAAAAATAAAATATATATCATTTAAATTAGTTATTCAGTATTAAAACAGAAAATATTTCTAATATTGATGTATGAGATTTTAAAATAAATATATTATTTGTTGACTTTATCACATATTAGATAGTGTAACTAATTATATTATAACAATGTTAACTTTTAAAATTAAGTGAAATTTAAGATGTAAAAATAATATTATTTCACATAATTTTATAATTAATATAATTAATTTTAGTCATTATTATTGTTTTCATCTCTTGTGTTTTCTTTATTCTCTTCTTTTTTACCATCATAATATTGTAATTATCGTTATATAACTACAAACTAACATTATCTTTTTTATTATTATTATTATTATTATTATTATATATGTTAGTCTTTATAACATTTCAAATTTTCTTTCGTTAATATTTTCTAATTTAGAATATTTTAATCAGTTAGTGTTGAATTTATCATCTAATAATAATAGGATTTAAGTATTTAAAGAAATTTATTTATAAAAAATAATTATAAATAATATTATTATAAATAATAAAGATTAATACCTTAGAAATGTTATGTCATTAATATTTAATAGATATATAATGTTTTATTAATTATTCAGAATTTAATTAAAAATTTTAAAATTAGAAAAAACTTAGTTAATTAAAAGTTTTTAAACTGCAACAACGAATTAAAAATGTTAAAAAAAAAACTATAGAGATTAACAAATTAATTTAACCTATTATTATTTATTAATATAGTCATAAACATTTATTAAAACATTTATTACTTCTTTAATTGCAAGAATTTTTATGAACTTAATCTATTTGTATAAATAAAACAAATAAGTATTAATGGTTAAATTAATATAAAATTAACATGTTATAATTATTTCTTTTATGATAAATTCACTATCAATAATAACATTAAACCTACATTGTTATTACGGATTTGTTTCAAAATGTTTCTGCGAATCTATTGTAAAATCACGAATCATTTTCTTTTTATTTCTCTTTTTTTAATTAAAAAATTTACTGTTTTTTTTTCCTTTTCAAAACTAAACACGTTCTCTTTCTCGTGTGGGAGGTTTTGAACTTTTTCTCTCTTCGTCAAGTTTTCTAAGTCTGAGTTCGACCTGACGTGATGTCACAGAGATTTTTTGCCACCAAAAACCATATTGACAATTTTTCAAGCACCTGTTTGACGCGGCTGGACGGGAATATGGAGGTGACTTGACATTGGACTGTCGTTCAAGCCTAACTAAAAAAAAAACCCAAAAGAATCATATTCGTAGTAAACATCATAATTAAATTAAGACTAAATTATTTAGTCTTTGTTTATATATAAAATAATTCTTATATTTATAAAACTTATATTTTTATCTTTTATTATATTTTAATCTCTGTTATTAATAATGTTATAACGATAAAATTTAAAATATAACAAAATATCAAAAATTAAATAGTAAGTTTTTTAAGTATGATAATTAATTTGTAAATAAATATTAACTAAAGAAATTAAATATATATTTTAATTAGAAATACAAAATAAATTTAGATTTTTCTAAAAAATTAAAAATTCATATATTTAAGTTAAAGATAATTTATAATTTAAAATTGTATATATTTATTAATAAAATTTATTAATTATGTAAATATATAAAATAATAATAATAATAATTAATAAAATAATAAAAATAATTTATATATGATAGATACTTTTTATTATGATTGAAAAAAGATAAAAAATATTTATACATTTCTTTTATAAATAAAAATAAAACCAACTAATAAAATTTTGAGTTGATATAATAAAAAATATTTACTTATATAAAATAAAAAAATTAAGAATATATTTATTTAATAAATTTGATTTTTTA